CTCTGACTCTTACTGAACCAGTTTCGCAAAGTCAGAGAAGCAACGCAAGCAAGAAGAATAAAGAGAAGAACTTCGCCGTCGACGTCTCCGTCATGGAGTTCGGAACTGCCGCCGCGACTCTCACGAAGAAGCTCTCTAACGGCTACGGCGTCTCCGGAAGATCGGCGTACGACGGCGTTTTCGCCGCTCCAATCAAGCTCCGAGCTCCGACTTTCTCCTCTCAATTCGAGGATTACCGCGAGATTTTCGGCGCCGCCGGAGCTTCGCTCGGTTCCTCTATTCCGATTCTGGAACTTCCGGAACTCAACGAGAGCAAGAAAAAGATCGACGACGTTGGGCGCTCGAGGGTCGATTACTCGACGGTCTTCGGTGGGTTTGGGAGTCTAGACGCTGCCGTTCCTTTCGAGGAGATAGTGGCTGAGCCTGTGGAGAAAGATAGCTTCGCTATACGGTGAGTTTGCTTGCTGCGTTTTTTTTTCTTCTAATTTTTTGTTAGGGTTTTAACTTAACGTGACTTGGAATAGTGAATGTGCTTGCGTGTTGGTGTTTTGCTTGGAATCCAGATTCGATTCGAGAATATTTGTTTTTTAAACCTGGCCTTGCTTATGCATCCTTTCCATTTTGACCGCTCTGTCGGTCATGTGAGTTCTTTCTGTGAGAAGAGAAACTGCATTTTCTTTTGCTATTTTTATTTATTTAATTACTTGTCGTGCTCTCGAGCAAGTGAGTGGGCAACAAAGGTAATAATACCTTACTTTTTAGTCACTTAAAAAAAACGAATCAATGGGAATCTAGTGTTTCGCGGAACTGGTTGAGCCCTTTTGGCATTCCTTTTATTCTACTTCACCAGTGGAGGAGAACTTATAGGTTAAGGTTTATGGTAGATTTATAATTTTAAAGTTTGGAATTGAAGCCGGGAATCGGAATCTAGACAACTTTTCAAATACAACTACTTGAAATATACGAATCAGTTTTTAGTTGCAAAGGGAAGCTAGCGTATGGCATCACGATCTTACTAAAAGGGTTTTGTACGCGTTAAATGTGAATTTAAGCTTGTATTATACCATATTTGGTGCACATTTATATGATATTTAGAAAAATTCCCAACAACGGGCCTTGGATGTGAATATTAATCAAATTCATATATTGGTATTTGTGGGAGGATGGAGATCTTTGGAAAAATTCCTTTATTGTGCAAATCTATTATGTAGCATCGGTAACTAACCAAGTTCTCAGAGGCTGCTTAGGACGGCGATGTTAACATTAATTGTTTTCCTGGCATTTATTATTCTGTAGGAGTAAGATCAAAGGAGAAAACCAATCTTTCCAGCAAGAGCTTAATACATGTTCGAAGGAAATTCCAGTGAAATCGTGGTCATCCCATGATGCCAAAAAGGTCAATATGTCTTATCATAAAGTTAACCAAGGAAGTGAAAATGGAACAGGTGGGACAACACATATAGCTCAACTCCAGGCTGTCCCTGCTTACACTCGATTAATCGAAGAAGTCAAGCCAATGAAGATAAACAGAGCTAATAAGTCTATACCAGTAGCACAAGATACTTATTCTGGTAGCCATGTCGAGGAGGGAATAAAAGAAGCTGCACATTCTACCAATTCGTATACTAGTGCTTCACCTGATAATTCTAAGCAACAGTCTTCCACCAACAATGGCGTAAAAGTTAAAAATAGATCTGGTTCTATTGATCTGTTTTTTGATGCATGTGAGATCAGTAATGGAAATAATGGAACAAATAATGTCAAAGTTCCTCGATCAGAGACTACTGAATCTAACTTAAATAAACAAAAAGGTGATGCTCTGAAATCAACGCCAATCAAATTCCAGGCATCTAAGAGTAGCTCATCCGAAGGTGTAGCTGGTGCTGATTCGCCACCATACTCAGATGAGGTAGCTGCTTCTGTAGCTGCTTTAAGAAAGGCAATGGAAGAGGCTCAAGCAAGAATGAAGGTTGCAAAAGAATTGATGAGAAGAAAGAAAGAAGGTTTTCCTGATCGTGTGAAACGTAAGTCTAACATTGAAGTGAAAGCTGATGGAAAAAGAGACGCTAAAGTCACTCTTAGAACAACGAAACTTGATGCAAAGCTAACATTAAGAGAAAAGGATACTTCTCTAAATTCTTCTTCTGAGGTAGGGAGGTCAACTATGAGAATAGAGAAAGCGAGGCCAGATCTGGGGACAAAAGAAACCTCTGGTCGCTGAAGAAGTTGTACGCGAAACACAGAAGAAGATGAAATCAGATCAAGCAAAACATGAGAAAGAGGTTGAACAAAAAGAATCAAATCATAAGGAAAAATACTTGAGCAGAAAGAGGCGAAATAACAAGAAAGAGCAGTACTTTATAAAACAGTATAGGAATACCCTGAAAAACCTAGAATCTGATGAAAAAACTAGAAATGGTTAGGGAACTATTGGGGCTGGAAGAAAATATGAAGAGAAGGTTCATGCAGACCATGAAGCGAAGTGCATATGTAGAACTTGTCCGGGAAACTAACATAGGAGTCAAAACGGTAGTAGATGAGACAAAACTGATTCAGGAGGATATTTGAAAATGGTTTAATGGACAATGGTCCGAAGGTTAATGAAAATGGGGAAGTTGAGAATAGGGTTAAATCTTTTTATAATCCGGAAGACTATGGAAGCAATGTCGGTGGGCAAGGGTTAATAGAAGGTAATGGGAAAAAAGTTTCTGGTGAGCCAGAAAGATGGCAACAAATGTGCAGGTCCTTTGAGCTTGAAGAATGCAAATAAATTTGAGAGCTGTTTCAGGAACCGCGAGAGGCTGAGAAGAATATTACTGAAGAGCTAAAAGGAAGTGAGAATAAAGTTGATTTGTTCAGTGAGCTGGAAGAATGTGAACTAGCAGAAATTCTGGAGCCACTTGACAATGAGATGTGTGCAGTCATCATGCCATAAATTTGACTAGTATGGAGGAAGCGACAGAGAACTTTGGGTGTTTAGAGGACAGAAAGAAAAGAAATGATTCTGGTTTTCTGGATATCAGTCAAGACACTGAACATTCCTGTCAGAGAGAAGCCAGAGAAGCCACTGGTAATACCTTTGGCAGTATCTATGTGCAGGAGGAAATCGTGGACCATATTCATAGTAAGAATAAGAAAAGTAAATTGGATGGAAATGACATGGTTCTTGATGCCCAAGCAAGTGAGAATGGATTTCAAGAAGCCACTCAACTGATGGATGGAAATACGAGGGAAAGGATAGACAACAAGGAGCCAGTTGAAGTTATTAGAGTAACTCTATCTGATCCTTGTTGCGAGGAGGTAAAAGCAGAGAAAGCTGGCAATACCACAGAAACCAGTTCAAGCTATGAGCCAGATGAAACTGAGAAGTTGAACAAAACTCAGGGAGCTGATATAATCACTGAAAATGAGGAAACTTTGGAAGTAAATCTAAAGGTTCATTCATATGATGAGGTAGATGGTGTATCGGAAGCAAGTAGTGCTTCATTTCAACAAGAGAGATATGAAGAAACAGACCCCGTTCAGGAGACAAGTGATTTCCGTGATAAACATACAGATGAGACTCATTCCTTCACTCAAGTTGCCGTTGAACTAAACGAAGCAGACAATCAAATACAAAATATATTTGAAAGAGAGACTTCCGAAGGTGCTGCTACAAATAGTGGTGACACCGACATAAAGGCTAGGCAAAACATAGATCAGTGCTGGGAAAAGTCAGAAAATTACTGCAATCTGGAAATGCCTGTTGAAGACACAACTCCTGAGTCTGTTGAAATCTGAAAGGATGCAAAGGAGACTAGAGATGCATTAAAGGAAGATTTGGATGAGAATAGGTCTAATTCCTCTAATGGGGAAATTTTGTATGACAATGAAGACATTATAGATGAATCACAGATACCTAGTACATCTGATTGGAAATCGAGTCCCTTCAAAGAAGTAGAGAAGGTTGATTCAAGTCACATCAATATAAGGGAGAGTAATCAAGTATCCGCAATGGAAGAGAAGGGAGCAAATGACAACTTGCATAAGGAAGAGCAGGAAAAGGAACACCTCAAAAAACTCGATGCAGCAAAAGAGAGGGAAAGAGAAAGAGAAAAGGAGAAATTAGCTGTAGAAAGAGCAATTCGTGAAGCACGTGAAAGGGCTTTTGCTGATGCCAGAGAAAGGGCGGCAGTAGAGAGAGCTGCTGCAGAAGCACGTCAGAAAAACATTTCTGATGGACGAGAAAGGCTAGGAAAAACCAATAGTCAGGCAAATGAGAAGACCCCAGCTGAGAAGGCTGCTTTGGAGGCAAAACTTAAAACTGAGCGTGCTGCTGTGGAGAGAGCAACTGCAGAGGCACGGGCACGGGCCCTAGAAAGGGCACTTTCTGAGAGAGCTGCTTCTGATGCAAGAAATAAGTCTGATAAACCTGTTGCAGGCTTTGTGGCTTCCCGTGATAATGCAATGAAGCAAAACTTCCAATCAAAATCTTTCAGCCATGGTGGTATGTAATGTTAACATGTTCTGATTGCGCTGTAGTTGACCCTATCTTTTATCTTGTATCATATATTCTGTATTTATGTGCTTTCTGTTTAAATTTTTATTGATTCTGTACAAATTGTATTTTCCTGAAGTTCGTGATTCTACTGATGTATTTGATGGAGCTAATGGCGATTCTGCTCAGAGATGTAAGGCAAGGTTTGAGAGGCATCAGAGAATAGGGGAACGCGTGGTATGTTTCCTGGTTTTGCCAAATATCTCTTGTACAAATTAAGTTGTCAAATTGTTTGTTCATTCTTTGTTTCGGATGCAGGCACATGCTCTTGCAGAAAAGAATATGCGTGACAGGCTTGTGCAGAAGGAGCAAGAGGAGAGAAATGTAATTTTTCTATCAAGGTTTTGCGATTCACATGTTTCCAATTATGCCTTACAAAATCTTTTTTTTTTTGTTTTTTTGCAGAGGGTAGCAGAAATTCTTGATGCAGATGTTAAAAGATGGTCAAGTGGAAAAACAGGAAACTTGAGGGCATTGCTTTCTACATTACAATATGTATGTGTAAACATCCTAACTTTGTTTAAGCTCTGTGCATATTTTGTGACTGTTATACAATGATAGATAAGAACTTCCCATTTATATATTTCTTTTCCTATACTCAACTAATCACTTTAAACTAGGGAAATAAAGACATAAAAATATATCGTTTTTGAAAGCACTCAGTTGTTTCAAGACCTGGAGGAAATTTTTGCTTAATCGTTAACAAATTTGTCTTATGCAGATTCTTGGCCCCGACAGTGGTTGGCAACCGATTCCTCTGACAGATGTAGTAACCACCCCTGCAGTAAAGAAAGCTTATCGTAAAGCTACACTTTTTGTGCATCCTGACAAGCTGCAGCAGCGGGGAGCAAGCATTCAACAAAAGTACATCTGCGAGAAGGTTTTTGATCTTCTAAAGGTTTGGCTTCATTTGTTCTTTTTAGTTCTTAACAATTCTGCTGATACCATGGTTTCAACCTACAATCTTTTTAGTTCCCTTGCACCTTTTTTATTGCATAAAATATGTAGTTGTAAGTGGGATTTTGAATCTTTCCATGGTACTTTTACTAACATGAGACCTGAGTTTGTAAATAACATTTAATATATGATATCGTTTCCATGTAATATAAAATAAATTTTCTTGAAGCAAAACTATTATTTTAATTTATGTTTTCTAAGAAGTATACAATTATATTCATGTGCAAAATCTAATTTTATACTGTACATAACTTGGCTACCATAATCAGTCTAAAACATTAATTACATCAGACATTCCTTTTATCGTTTAAATTGTAATAAAATCATCTCACAAAATAAATTCACAGGCTAAAACAAAGTATATTTTTCCCGTGTTTCCTGGGTTGAGCTAAGACACGTTGTCACTGTTAGGAATCAGACGACCAGTTTTGTAAACGATATCTTTCTTACTGGAGCAGGATTCAAATCTATGAATGCATGTTTCTGAGTTTTTGTTTAATTGTCCCCAGGAAGCTTGGAACAGATTTAACATGGAAGAACGATAAACAGTGCTTAGTGCTGGGTTGTCTGATGATTGAAGTGCATTATTACTATATGTATGAAAAGTAGTCTCAGAAATCAGCAAATATGCATGGTCTGCAAGTGGAACTTTATTGTATAGCTCAACATCTATTGTACTACATTTTTATTTTTTAGTTCCACCAATTCCAGGCCTTTAATTAATTATAGAATAATTTATCCAGAAGATAGCTGGCTGATTAGCAAAGTAACAGTAGTCTTGGCTGAATCAGTCTTAACCCCATTTTCATATATCAAATTTGAAAAATGTTGACAGTATAAACATGCTAGAAACTATTCTGGATTTTGTTAGAACATAATTCTTCGCCAACCATCTGTTTCTCTCAATTTAGAAGTCACAGAACATGTCTACCCAAATTGACAGAAAAATTTCTCGGGAGAGCTGCTTATAAAAGTGTGTTGGATGGAATAAATTATTGTGTTTGGAGGAAATAAATGGTTATCAGAAAGTTAATATTATAAATCGGTGTAAAGGTAATTTATCGAATAATTGTGATGTATTGAAAAATAGGTAACATTAAAAACAGACGAAGTTTGTTATATAGCTACTTTTACTTATGAAAGCAAGTAAATGAAATTAAATCTTGAAAAAGAAGTATATCAAATTAGGCACAGAAAAAGTTGTTTGGTTATTGGTAGTTTGATAAAGACATTCTAAGAGAATTTGGAATAGTTGCAAATACAAGTGTTTAATAAGATATTTTTAAGAGTTATAATCAACAATTGATGATACTAATATTTATTATAGATCAATACACATTTTTTGTATGTGATGTGTCTTTATATGTTGTTGTATTTGTGTTTTTCTTTTCTTTTATCATCGTATTTTGGTTTTTCTTATTCAGAATAAATTTTATATATGAAAAATGTCCTTGTTGGATTGTTGTATTATCTCTTCTGTTGCATTGTTTAAGCGTCAAAGTGTTGATGCTTAAACTTAGTAAAAAGGTTTGAATACATAGTTTTCAACATGTTTCTTAGCTTATAAAGCAGAATTTTAATTAATATTTTACAATATGATTGCTAACTACCATGACCTTGTTGAATTAACTTTTTACTAAAACAGTAAATATAACAGCAAATAACTTTATTAAAATTATGACAAAAGATGGAATCTTGAAAATACATATTTATTCCGAACAACACAGATGAAAGCATAATTATTTGTGAATGGTGCCATTAACTGGGGTTTGAGCAGGTTCAGGAAGAAGCCCTTTTTCTCTGCAGCTCTCAACAGCTCCTGTGAACATATCCTCTAAGTTGTACTCAAATTTGAAGCCCATGTCAGTGATCTTCTTAGAAGAAAATCTAATAATTTCCAATTCATCTGGAATATCCTTGAACCTGCATCAGAATCAGCACAACATGATCCATAGATATGAATCAATTATCACCTTAAGCAAAAGACAGTATTATCACTACTACTATAACATTCTCTGATGAAATGAGAAAAATTACAAAGTCTTACTTTGTGGGGATATTATACTGAGGGTATTTTTGATTTAGCAGTTTTGCAATGTCATGAATGGTTGCCTCATGTGAACAGCATATGTACCTCCCTTCTGCTTTTGGATTCTCAAACAAAAATATATGAGCAAGACAAAGGTCATCTAAGTGCACGAACTGCCCTTGTTTTATGATATGGTAATGCCCTTCATTTCCTGCTAATTAAAAACTATGAATCATTCCAATACAGTGTACATTGAAATCATTCTGTTGATTATATATTAACAAACGTATCAAAGTTCAAGACGATGACGAATTTCAATCTTGCATCTAAGTTTAGAAACTAAAAATATATTTAACTTTGTGTTATTAATTCTAAATATGAATTAGTTTTGGTGGTTTGACCTGTGATGAGTGAAAGAGCAGTGATTAGGCTTGGTGGCATTGTTGGCATAAGAAAGGGACCAACGACAAGAGGTGGAATGATGGAGACAAAGTCTATGTTATGTTCTTTGGCGAATTTCCAAGCTTCTTTCTCCGCCAGGGTCTTTGAAACAAAATACATCTACAGAGAAACATGGTGTAGAGTAGAATCATTCTTCTTCATGGTGTATGAACAAAGAAAACATGTAAGATAGATACAAAGAACTAACCCAACCAGTCATTTTGACCCTTCTGCAGAACTCAACATCACTCCAACAGTTCTCATCATAAACAGGCTTTGGTTGCTCAGCAACATCAACAGTTCCAGCTGAGGATGTGAAGACAATTCTTCGCACACTTTTGGCCTTCACGCATGCTTTCATGATATCGAGTAACCCCTTTATTGTCGGCTTTATCACTTCGTTCTGCATTTCCACTCAATTTTTTTAACCATGTTACAACAACTTAATTCAACATTTTCACAACTATGGTAAGAATATATGTATAGATAATGGCTCTTTCGAGAGAAGTTCATATGAAAGATTCAACAATAACGTACCTAAACCAAAGTACATAAGAAATTCATAAGAATTATTGCTGTCACATTGGGTAATCTATTAGTCAATTCGGTCCACTACATGTTTGAGTTGGTTTGAGTCGGAATAGGTTGAAAAAAAAGTGAAATTTTTATCTAAACCAATTTTGATGTGGCTCACTAAGAATTAGTGATGTGTTGGGTTAGCTCACCAACCCACCTTTTTTTATTTTTTTTAATGAAATGAAATGAATTAATTATTCAATGAAACAAAAAAATATTACCCCTTGACCTATCTAAAACCTTTTTTTTATATCGATTGGTCTAATTATTATTGTTTCAATTTGATCGATCAAAGTAGCTTGTTATAAAAGTCATGAAAGAAGAGAGTAAAAAAAAGTTAAGTGAGTGAGTGTGTTTAATCCATCAATTCATGGTATCGAGCAATATTTACATTTTTTTCGACTCGCTAATAAATGAATCGGGTTAGATTGTCTCATTAAGTGACCAATTATCAACTCAAGAAAATATGTATAGATACCTCAGGGTCCTTGGATTCAAAATCCATGGGGGTTGCAACGTGGAAAACTCCTGTGCAGCCTTTAATGGCTTCGTCAAAGCTTCCCTCTTCACCAAGGTCAGCTTTCCACAGAGACAGTTTCGTCTTTGCACCTGGAAGTTCCACCAAATGCTTCACCTTCTTCATGTTTGCTGCAGGGTATGTATGCACGTCCATACATATCATAATTAGCATAAAACACTGTGATATCTATGTAATCTCCACTTTCACGTGCACGTGTCTTTTTTTTCAAGAGAAAGTTTCAGCAAGTTGAATAACATAAAAAAAACAGTCTTAAGTTTATTGTGTAGTTAAGATTTTGGTTGAATCTGTCATGTTTTGTCATAATTCACTTCCATTAATTAAGATATATCTTTGTCATAATATTATCAAAAAATTTAGGTTAACTTATTATTTTGTCTCTTTTTTAAGATTTTATACTGAGACCAAACATTCATCAATAAATTTAAGTTATTTTTAGTATAAATCTTTTTTTAGTTGTTCAAATTTAAGATCTTATTTACGAACATTCCCAGTTAGATCTATGGCCAGACGAAAAAACCAAAACAGGACCAGAATTTCAAGCTTTGTAATTTCAAAACATGGTGTAATCTTCTGGTGGCACTATGAGAATATAAGAACAAATTAATGAGGTGGATTTAGAGAGAGTATCATAAAGGTTAATTAAAACTATGTAAAATTATTAAAGAGTGTAAGACTTTAGCAAAATTTCAAATAGTTGTCTTTAATTCTAATAAATAAATAAATAAATAAATAAAGTGAAGTAAGAATGAGACCTGGGTCGCGTACGGTGGCTCGAACCGTGTAGCCACGCTCCATTAGCCTCATCACAAGCCATGATCCTATGAAACCTGAAGCTCCGGTAACGCAAACGGATTCGGACCTTGAACTCATTTTTTATTTTATTTTATTTCTTTCTTTGTTTTTAAGGTTGAAAATGAAATGGAAGAGTGTATGAAAATGAATATGGTTTTATAGAAGCAACTGGGGAAAGTGGAATGAGGTAGATGT